TTAATTGTATAATTACACTGTAGCAAGAACACCTTAAACTAAAGTGTAACCAAAAACTCTCGCTGATGCCAAACTTTTTGTCAGTAGTATATATAATTCTACACTACTTAAAAGATTAAAGCTAAACATTTTTTTAAAAGTTATTAGATCATTAGTGTTTTTAAAGATTATCTTTAAAAATTAATTTAAATGTAAATGTCATTTAAATGTAGAAATAGCTTAAATGAGCATTTACATAAAAACAAAAAAGTATATTTGCCCATAATCAATATGGTAGAAATATATCATGCATGTGTAATTAGTTAGTAAAGCTAATATAGCTATTTAGTGTCATTTCTTCTAATTTAATTTGGTATGTTTTTACTCCTGTAGAGCCTGAGTTTCACTGGAGAGAAAGTAAGTAGCTAAATAGTTGCATTTTATATGAAAATATTATCCTTATTTTATGGGTTTTTTATTCTGTAACTACTCAGCCAGACAGAATCCTGAATTGTGCTGCAATTACTGTATGTGTTTTACAGTTATTTGTGCCCGATGAAGTTGTTCAAGCTTTGTATTTTATGTATTTAGATAAAGAAATTATTCTCATTTTGAATAAATAATAGTGTAATAATAAATAAACTATGAATAATAGTGCGAAACATCTATAAGCTCTGATTAATATGTATTTTCTCAATGGCAACAGGGAAGCTGTCATCATCTCCTCCCCCAGATTCTGGCCAGCAGGACGGGCGCTCAGACCCCTTCACCCTCACCCCACACGGAGCCCTGCCCGACTGGTGAGAGAGAGAGAGAGGAGTTACACAGGCACTGGGCAGGTTAAGATCTGTTTCTGCAAGTGACAGAAAAAAAGTGGCTAAAGTGGCCTCTGTGTGTGTGTGTGTGTGTGTGTGTGTTACAGGGCTGATCTGGGCGACACAGGGAAGCACCCAGAACCCAAGAGTATTTTTGAATTTGAGCCTGGAAAGGGAGCAGCAGTAGAGGATCGTAGTCAGGTAAGAGACAGCTATCATTAGCCCATCACTCAAGCTTCTGGCAACCTCTTCATGCAGTTTAACAAGAAATATTGTCATTTAAACATGCAAAAATACTAATGCGGTTTGTGTATTGTAATATAACGTTTGAGCCAAAAGGCATCCGATGGCATGTTGTTACTGTTCTAAAAAACTTTTTTTTAGTTTGCCAGTTGTCTAAAGTATTATTGTGTCTGTTGAAAGCCTTTTTGTTACTGTCTATTGGCATTTTGTAATTGGGTTAGACTGAACACTAGAAGTGGTTTTAAATCAGTACAGTACCTTAATGACAGTTACCTCATATGTTGGCCAGGGTTCATGCAAGGTGCTTAAATTTGGATTTTTTTTCCAGAAATTCTGAGATTTCCTTTCATCCGTCTGTCTGTCTGTCCAAAAACCCTATTAAAACAAGGTTTTGCCAACAAACTATGTAATTTACAGTATGTGAATTTCTTAGAATTTCAATTTCTTCTTCAAATTCAGTTTACATTCAAATTGCAATTCTGCCTTCAATTTGCTATCTCAATTAAAATTCATTTAAAATATATATAAATATATCTATCTGTCTACGTGCGAGTATATAATATCAAATTAATTTGAACATACCCTATTCAGATTGCACTGAATAACTGGCCATGAAAAGGTGTGGGAACGCAAGGTTTTCAGTTTGTTCTTGTATAATGATGCTGTGTAGGTGGATAGGTGTGATCTACACCCGATTAAGATCAGATGTCCTTTTAAGAACGAGGTGTTTTAGTCTCAAAGCTTTAAAGGGATAGTGGACTGGTAGAATGTCAACAGACAGTAACAAAAAGGCTTTCAACAGACACAATAATGCTTTGGACAACTGGCAAAATTTAAAAAAATATGCCCTCTTGATGCGTTTCTGCAAGTTTTCCCCTACAAATCATATATTACACAGTCCACCAATGCCTTTAAAATTGTTCCGTATGACTTGAGTCATAACTTTGTGTGAGAAACAAACCGAAAAGCTATAACTTACTGAAAATCAGTGATCAGAAAATCAGACTTTGTTTTTTGGGCTTGTTTCTCTGAAAACTTTATTTCTACAATCCGCTTGTTGCAAGACCTCATAGCTGTCATGTTTGACCGAGATCTCACACCTCACTGCATTTGACTTATGAGGAGGAGGAGTGACCGCTTTGCCTGCTGGTTTCTACTTGTACATGTTAGTTTGGACATGAATAAAAGAAAGTATTGTTTCCGTCTTGTGATATGTATTAAACCTGTTAACCTCTTGTGTGATTTACCAGCACCATAGTTAGTAGAGTTGTCAGTCGCTGTTTCTACTTTCATTCTGTTTTCCCTCATTTCCCGTAATGAGACAGCTGTCATCTCATTCACTAAAGACAGCCTTATTTGGTTAACATCATTGAAAGATGACTTCACTTATCTTGTCTTGGTTAGTTAACGGTTCTGAATGTCTGACTTGGCTTCAGTAAGGTTATTAGCTGCCAAGATATGTGAGAGTGAGAAGCTTTTCACATGATCCTACCTGTCTGGAGCACTTGTAAAATCGCAAATTGTTCAAGTCTGCTTTTTAGGTAACAATTAAATGAGGCAAAACACATCAGGTTTATACTTACATTGGCTCCTAAGTTGGTTATGAAATGGTATTCAGTTCAAACCTGTATCTTGTACTTGTAGTTCTTAAAAATAAAGTGTTATTTTAATATCACTGAGTGCGTTTACATGCACATTCATAAACTGATTATATTAATAAGCCAACGAGTATGGACATGTAAACGTGTTAAACCGTTTTCCTTTATTTGCCTAAGGTCATGATCATCTTATGCATAAACCGATCGACACAGCTAGATTTCTGCCTGATTTCACCTGAAACACCTTAACCTGCGATGTGTCCGATTATTGAAGTGCACATGTGTAATATGTGACAGAGAAGCTTTAAGCGCATCCAGCCACAGCGGTAGGGGAGGAGGAAATATTGCAAACTCTGACATTTTCTTGACCCAAGACCCAAAATGTGTTTTCATCTCATGCGGTTTAAGTGGTATAGTAGTAGAAACTTCAAATATGTACATTTACATGGACAACAATACTCCGATTTGAATACGATTGATGTAGGACTTTTCGCAGCATTTTGCGACAGGATACACACACGGCATGTCAACCGTTTGACAGCAAACAAAAGAATGGCTTCAACACCTCCGTAGTCTGTATGCATGTATAGCATGACAAATAATTAACTGCACTTGAAGCTTTCAGTAAATAAAAAATTAAACACCCAAAACTGTACATGGCATCATAACGAAGACGAGCTATATGTTTATACGTGAAATTCTTGAGGGGACGTCAGATGGCGTCACGTGGGACGTAATGATGCATGCCATTAATCGAACTATGTACTATAACATGCAAAACAGGAACATGAAAGGAATATTCTAAAAGCAACTCATGTAAACACCTTAATCGTAATATTGTCTTATTCTGAATAAGGCACATCATTAGATTACTGATGTCCATGTAAACGTAGTCTGTTGTGAGAGGAGAATGAGTCTGTGCAAGACATTTTGAAATACTCTGGGCTTTTTAATGCTTTATTTAACATCACGACTCACATAACTGATATAATTCTCTATGGAGAATACATGGATGCTTATGTTTTCACATTGCCACCATTTACATGTAAACCAATAAATCGGGTTATTTCAATAAAATAATTGTTGGTACTTAGTGTATTGGTGTGCATGTAAACATGCTTATTGAGATTACAGTTTGTATTAATATTTTGAATTAGTTTTTATTTTGTTGTTTTCCATTTTTAATTTTAATTTTAGTTAATATTGTTGAGTTTTTGTCATTTTAATCTTTTTTTTTTTATATGTCTGTATAGTTTTTGTCAATTTTTATTTCAGTTTTAGTTTATTTTAGTTCATCAAGTTAAGCTAAATGAAAACGAGAAATGTTACCTTGGCAACTAGCTGAAATACAGTATGGTTTTGAATGTGGTCTAATGATATTGTACTGTTGTTGTTTTTCAGACTTTGAGGTCTGAGTCACAGCTGCCTTCATATCACAGCCCAGTGAAACCTCAATCCCAATCTCCATCCATAGAGGTGAGTGTCTTCCGAACTTCCACATCAGACATCCATCTGCACATGTCTCACTTTCTGACAATCTGTATGTTTCTGGATTCTGGATTCTTTTATAAATAATTGCAATAGCCTATACATTTGTTACAGTGTACAATCACATCATTTTCTGATTAAAAGCCTATGGTCTGGTTAAGCCTTCAGCCTGAAGAAGATATTTGCATGCTGTTGTAGTATACATGTATAGTCAGCACAATCTGAATAAATGAAGGCAGATTCTTTTCCCGCTCTTCTCTTCTGCAAATACTGGACATGCTCTCTATCATCATTTATTATGCTGTGGAATTTCTAAATGTCTTGTCAAAGTTTCATAAACATGAAATCGCATGAAGTCCCAGATTGCATTTGGACATGTGAAACCACACCAACACATAATGTGCTATGTGTCATGGCTGTCATGCTGTTGTTCAGGCGACGCTGGTGTCAGAGCTGAACCGTTTTGAGGCGGAGCTGGACTCAGACATTCGTGGTCTGGAGAGGAAACTGTCACAGAAGCAGCAGCAGCGGCGAGGCAGGGGTGAGGTACTGACCCTCCCATCTACACACCACACTCCTCATCAATACTCATTAAATCCTCAGTCACCTCCCTGAAACCAGACAATAATTACCTATGATCTGCTATTGCATGTCTCTATCTAGTTCAGTACATATAGTGATATACATACACTACCATTCAAAAGTTTGGGGTTAGAGTTCACCAATGCTGCATTTATTTGATAAAAATACAGTAACAACAGTAATATTGTGAAATATTAATAACAATTGTAATATATTTCAAATAAATGAAAATATAATTTATATATTTGAAATTAACAATTTAAATAAGAGTGGTATTGTATTTTGCAAAACCGTTTTGCAAGTCTTCCTGTTATTCCAATTCGAATTCCAGTTCAACTCATTGTGATTTTTGGCCTGTTCATTTCAAACACACACTCATAATACTTCAATTCTGAATTTAGCCCAACAAATATTAAACAAATATCTACTTCGAAGTTTTAGAGAGTGAGGGTCATAGAAAAACAGAGACACAGCATTTAGATAAGACGGAGATTATTTGTGAAGTTGAATTTGGCGTACTGTATCAATCGCTCTAAATGGCTTTTAAATCTTTTGGACTTCTAGCCAGACTTTAGTCATCCACTATGACCCTAACTGATTTCTTAAAAATTCCCACACCCTTCAGACAAGGTATTAGTCTTAAGCTCCCACTTGTTATGCCAAAAAAGTAAAAGAGTTTTTCTGCGTTTCTGGCCACTGCTGTTATCTCCCTGTCAGTGTGCTTCAGGTTGCTGGATGTTGGCTCTGATCTGACAGCTGTGCATGCTGATCCTCTCTGTCACTTCCTGTCATGCCGAACTGCCAAAGTGCTTCCGCCCACTGCTGAGCTTTCGTTTGAGTCACGCTAAATCTGCGCAGTGTCTGCTCTTTATATCCCGGCTCTGTTTATTTGATCCATTTCTTGCCATGTCTCTCTTTTTGTGATTCTTAAAGGGAAAGTTCACCCAAAAATTATCAGTTGCCCTTCATTTCTTTCCAAATCCCAAGGCTGCATTTATTTGATCAAAAATACAGTAAAAACAGCAATATTATGAAATATTATTACAATTTAAAATAACAGTTTTCTATTTTAATATATTTTAAAATGTAATTTATTCCTGTGATGCAAAGCTGAATTTTCAGCATCATTACTCCAGTCTTCTGCTGATTTGCTGCGTAAGAAACATTTCTTAATATAATTATCAATTTTCTTTAATCAATTTGAATAGAATTATGTATTTATTTATTTGTTTATTTATTTATTCTTTTATTAATTACAAGTTCAAATAATAGAATTTATTTGAAATAGAAATCGTTTGTAATATTATGTCTTTACTGTCACTTTTGACTGATTTAATGCATCCTTTCTGAATAAAAGTATTAATTTCTTTCTCAGCTCAGTGTTAATTTCAAATCTCAGTTTTGCCATCACTGGAATAAATTACATTTTAAAATATATTCAAATAAAAAACAGTTATTTTAATAATTGTAGTAATAATAATAATAATATGTATATATATATATATATATATATATTCTATTTATTCTAATAAAATATACTGTAAAAATATTACTGTTTTTACTTTATGTATTACGTATTACAAATAAATGCAGCCATGGTGAGCATATGAAAAAATATCTCTTATTTCAAACTTTCATTTTTATTTTTTATGACAAAAGGAGAAGTTTAGCAGAATGTTTTTGCTGCTCTATTCAATACAATAAAAATGAAAGTACCCTAAATCAGTCTCAGCTCCAAAATTAGCCAAATAAATATCCACATATTTTACGTGAAAAACAGACTCATATTTAAATTGCTGTTCGCTCAAAATCAAACTATTAATTTAATCTAAAATTAGCTTTCGGGTCAATGAATACTGCACCTCTAATTGTGTTTATGGCTCTCCCCGTGCTTGAGAAATAAACTGTGGAAATCTTAACTGATTACATCATCAGTTCCATCTCATTCACATTTACAGTGTGGCCAAAATGAATGGAGTGTAGGACCCAGGGGAGCTGTGCAGCTTTCAGTGCAGGAATGGTCACCGCCTCTTGAGATTTCCTTCGAGCTGCTCCCAAATGCTCCTGTTTAACTGTGTCTTTGAGAGAGATCATGTGTGTTAGAGCTGAATGAAATTGTGATTTCTATTTACAGGGATCTAAAGCCAACACTGCAACCACAAGAACAGAAGAGAACAGACAAGAAAACAGGTAAGCTTCAGAGTTTACTTAAAATTATACTTCGGAAACAGATTCGTCCCTAAGTTAGCCAGATGTGACAAAACTATTTTTTTTAATTTTTAATAAAAATGCACTTTTAGGTTAGGGTCGGTCTTAGATTAAAGCAATTGTAATTAACTTTATATATGTTATGTAGTTATAAATGACTTTTATATAATTTGGATAGACGTTTGGATATATGAAACAGGTGGGGCCAAATAATTTCTTTGGAGTGTTTTGCAGAAATAATATCTGATAATGAATCAGTGGACACATGCAGTAGATCAGGGGTGTCAAACTCAATTCCTGGAGGGCCGGAGCCCTGCAGAGTTTAGATTCAACCCTAATTAAACACACCTGATCCAACTAATCAAGTCCTTCAGAATATGTGAAAACTACATGGTATGAGTGTTGAGTTTGACACCCCTGCAGTAGATTCTCTGTTGTTTTCACTGTCTTATTAAGGTCATATGACATGCCTGGCCTGTCTCCTCGTCTGATTGGTTAATTGTTGACTCTTTGGCCGGCGGCCCACATACCCGACCCCATGCTGAGCTCTTTGTGTGCCTGTACATGTGTTTGTGTATTTGTCAGAGTGTGTGTGTTTATGTCTAAGTGTGTGTGTGGTCAAATTGTAGATGTCTCGTTCTTTACTCACATGCTTGACCTTGTTCATCCTGTTAATAAAGAGTTACAGTATTGGTTCAGTTCTCAGACTGTATTCAACACAGTTTAGAAGTGTGTGTGTCCGCAGTTGTTCTGCCTGCATCACTGCTTCTCAAGCAGTTATCCCTCTCTTTATGTGTTTTTGACACAGCAGAGCTATAAAAGGCAAAGTTTGGTCCTTCCAGGCCTGTACTTCAGATGTTTATGCCCGTTCTGACACCTTTAGCTTCAGTATTTGCTCGCCAGGGGCCCGTATCTCACTGGATCTGACACATTCTTGTGTTCTCGCTCTGTTTTTCTGTGGCATGTTGATGGTTTCTGCCCCCTCCAGCCCCCCGCTGACTACCTCCCCACCCTCGAAATGCCATAAATGCTCCTGCTGCTACAAAAAAGATACAGAGTGAGGACAGTTTTATAGCTTCTTTCTTTCTGGAACGATTAATAACCCTGGGGCTGAAAACCTGTTAACAGTAAATGTTTGTTGAGTTCAAGAATCGGTATGCTGCCATTTTATCAGCATAATATTTGATATAATACACTGCCATTTTTCCCAATAATTTGTATAAATATTGTTAAAATGAGGCACTTTTTCATAAATATCCCCATTTCGATCCTCATGGCTGAGACAGACCATCTGTTGTGTTTCATGGAATTCTTCCTGTCTTCCTTGAGTCTTGTAACATGTATATTATTTTTTTTGAGATCTCTGTTGTTCATGTATGTATCAGCATGGTAATCATTTACAGTATTTATTAATTTGTGTATTAGTTGAATGTAGAGCTTTAAAATGAATGTGAATAGCTTTAAGTGTTTGGTCTTGGAAGATAATAACAAATGTTTGAGCTCATGTTAATTTTAATTGCATATTTTGGTGTCTTAGTAAATTTGTGCACAGACATTGTTGAGATGCCTCTAAAAACTCTATAGGAGACACATGAGCTTATTGGAGTGTTATTTGGAAGAAAAACCTGAGAATTAATTAATTCATTCATTAAATATCATTGATGTTTAGGAAAAACATCTGAGACATGGATAAGATCTTGTTTGTTATTTTCTTCCTTATTGGAAACTAATAACGGTCATTTTGAGGAATCATGTTAATATATTAGGAGGCACTTACACAACACTGTTTTCAACAAAAAACATAAAACATTTTATGTTTTGGCTGTCCATTTACATGACAACGACATTTTGGGGGCCTGAAAATGCATACTTTTGAAAACAATACCATTGTCGTATCCATGTAAACTGCAAAAGCGTGAATTTGTGAAAACGGTGACGTCATGTGCATGTGTATTATGTGTTCAGTCTATAGGTACAGTAAGTGTGCAAATGTGTAGTGTTGCCTGCTGGCATGAATAATACAGTGTTTTTAGCCGTTTCAGTGAATCCGTGTGAACTGATTGCTTTGACAACGTTGTCATCTGTATCAAACTTTTCAAAAACGCAAAAGAAAAACTTTTCATTTTTTTTAGTACAACCATTGTTGTGTAAACATATCATAAGATTTGAGCTTTACCGTTGCTGTTTTTTACAGTGTTTTGCTTCTGCAGTATTTGGGATAGATTTGTCACATGATTATTTTTGTTTTTCTTTTCCAGCTATCCCGTAATCCCCTGCTCTGCTGTAAAGCAGGGCACAACAGCGAGCTTCATGCATTCTGATGGTAAGATATAGTCACCTTCCTATTCCCTCCTCTCTTGCGTTTCCTATTTCCTTGTACTTTTTGCCACTCTTCTCTCCTCTCATTCCCCAAGGCTGCTTCACATTTTGCACAGTTAATACAAAGTAACATTTGAAGTCAGTCACTGTTCAGCAGGACAGGAAGCGTGTAACAAGCAGCAGGATGGAGGTCTTGATTGCAGATTAGATTGATCCAGTAGTTTTTCCTGGAGATTAATTGAGAAAGACTCTGCCACTGTAAACACAATAACGTGTGCAGAGCTGGAGGTTCTGTTTGATTAGTTAAATTGGATTAAATCTCCAAATTCTCTCACTAATATACATTCAAAAGTTTGTGGTTAGTAAGATTTTATTTCAAAATTATTTTTTATTTTATTTCACACTTTTGTTGAGTTCAAGAATCGGTATGCTGCCATTTTATCAGCATAATATTTGATATAATACACTGCCATTTTTCCCAATAATTTGTATAAATATTGTTAAAATGAGGCACTTTTTCATAAATATCCCCATTTCGATCCTCATGGCTGAGACAGACCATCTGTTGTGTTTCATGGAATTCTTCCTGTCTTCCTTGAGTCTTGTAACATGTATATTATTTTTTTTGAGATCTCTGTTGTTCATGTATGTATCAGCATGGTAATCATTTACAGTATTTATTAATTTGTGTATTAGTTGAATGTAGAGCTTTAAAATGAATGTGAATAGCTTTAAGTGTTTGGTCTTGGAAGATAATAACAAATGTTTGAGCTCATGTTAATTTTAATTGCATATTTTGGTGTCTTAGTAAATTTGTGCACAGACATTGTTGAGATGCCTCTAAAAACTCTATAGGAGACACATGAGCTTATTGGAGTGTTATTTGGAAGAAAAACCTGAGAATTAATTAATTCATTCATTAAATATCATTGATGTTTAGGAAAAACATCTGAGACATGGATAAGATCTTGTTTGTTATTTTCTTCCTTATTGGAAACTAATAACGGTCATTTTGAGGAATCATGTTAATATATTAGGAGGCACTTACACAACACTGTTTTCAACAAAAAACATAAAACATTTTATGTTTTGGCTGTCCATTTACATGACAACGACATTTTGGGGGCCTGAAAATGCATACTTTTGAAAACAATACCATTGTCGTATCCATGTAAACTGCAAAAGCGTGAATTTGTGAAAACGGTGACGTCATGTGCATGTGTATTATGTGTTCAGTCTATAGGTACAGTAAGTGTGCAAATGTGTAGTGTTGCCTGCTGGCATGAATAATACAGTGTTTTTAGCCGTTTCAGTGAATCCGTGTGAACTGATTGCTTTGACAACGTTGTCATCTGTATCAAACTTTTCAAAAACGCAAAAGAAAAACTTTTCATTTTTTTTAGTACAACCATTGTTGTGTAAACATATCATAAGATTTGAGCTTTACCGTTGCTGTTTTTTACAGTGTTTTGCTTCTGCAGTATTTGGGATAGATTTGTCACATGATTATTTTTGTTTTTCTTTTCCAGCTATCCCGTAATCCCCTGCTCTGCTGTAAAGCAGGGCACAACAGCGAGCTTCATGCATTCTGATGGTAAGATATAGTCACCTTCCTATTCCCTCCTCTCTTGCGTTTCCTATTTCCTTGTACTTTTTCTCTCCTCTCTCTCCTCTCATTCCCCAAGGCTGCTTCACATTTTGCACAGTTAATACAAAGTAACATTTCACTGTTCAGAGGTCTTGATTGCAGATTAGATTGATCCAGTAGTTTTTCCTGGAGATTAATTGAGAAAGACTCTGCCACTGTAAACACAATAACGTGTGCAGAGCTGGAGGTTCTGTTTGATTAGTTAAATTGGATTAAATCTCCAAATTCTCTCACTAATATACATTCAAAAGTTTGTGGTTAGTAAGATTTTATTTCAAAATTATTTTTTATTTTATTTCACACTTCACTAGTAAGTTTCATGTGTGTGTGAAGACGCTGCAGGCCGTGGCGTAGCGCAAATCCGTGAATGAATGTTCCAAAGTGAAGTAAACTTAAGGGAGTAGGGAGCAATGAACACTGTGTAGGGACCATGTCAATTGGAACACAGTTGATGCATGGAGCTCTCTTCTAACGAGCTGGTGATCTGAATCAGGTGTGTTAAATAAGAGAGACATGCAAAATACGCAGAGCGGTGGTACGCAAGGACTGGAATTGAGAACCACTGCCCTAGGGCATAAAAGTGCTTGAAGTTGAAGAAACACCCAATAATTGCAAGCTAACATGGGCAATAGACACAATTCTGCTTTTGATTTTGGTATATTACGGGCCACTATCTCATATCTGGTCTTCTCTTTCCTCTACAGATCGCATAACATCACCAGACATGGATTTCCAACCTAAGAAAGAAGAGAGAAAGGTACAGTATATATTTGATCATTTTTCTCAGAGGTGTTTGAATGGAAAGTACGTATTTGACACAGACGTTGAGAAAGAACGCATGTTTGTCTACACAGATGAAAGCAGCGCGAGCGAAATTTAATTTCCAAGCACAGTCACCAAAGTAAGTAGAAACAAAAGACACAACACACATTTCATTATTCCTAATTATTTGCAGAATTGGCATCCGTCTATAAAGGATATGGGAAAGTCTGATCCAAAATGAAAGCATTGCAAATGCCACTGTGATTAAAATAAATGAAAATCAAATAATAAATGGTTCCCTGATTTGTTATTTAGTATTATTCATTTAATAATGTTTTAACATATTTATAATCACACACAGCCATTATTATTATTCTTGACCTCTCATCCATAGGGAGCTGACCTTACAAAAAGGGGATGTAGTGTACATGCACCGGCAGGTGGACGCCAACTGGTATGAAGGAGAGCATCATGGGAGAGTGGGAATGTTTCCCACCAGCTATGTGGAGGTGTGTCCATATGTATGCAAATGAAACACTTCACATCATCTTTTCACTTACCCACATTCCTATGTTTTCTTTCCAGATTATTCCTCCAACGGAGAAGCCCACGCCAATAAAGTCTCCCACCATCCAGGTGCTGGAGTACGGAGAGGCTGTAGCCCTGTTCAACTTCAATGCCGACCTGCCTGTGGAGCTGTCCTTCAGAAAGGTGCCAGAAACACTGCACATCTGCACCACATACTACAACTAATCAGTTATGCACAGTTGATTTTCAAAAAATATTAGATTCCAAAGAGGAGAGCGGCGTGCGCTGCACACTTCCCACTCAATAACAAAATAAAGCAGTGAGAAACCAGCAGTTAAGAAAGCATCTGATCATAGTGATGTGGATGTTTGCATGAGCTCTGCAATTCTGCACTCCAGTCAAGTCACATCACATTTATTTATATAGCACTTCATTGAACAGGTTTATTTAAAGTAAGCAGATTTGCAGGATTAAACATGAAAAAATAGTGTCAGGGTTGCTTTCAATTAGAAACGTCAGTTTCTACTATAAATAAGGTCTCGGTGTTTATATTTTCACCCTTGAATGTCTGACCTCGACAGACTGAACAGAAAAATGAGCTGGAGAAGGTGGAGCCCCAGAGCCACATCTACCTGTTATGTAAACACCACTGACCAATGGTAGTTTGAAGGTGTTGGAGTGAACTTTTTTAGGAAAGCTCACTTTGACAAGCTGTTTCGAACCCAAAACAAACCCCAAACAAGCTTTACTTTGGCCTGATTTTGTTCTAAATAACATCACACCAGATTTCACTTTATTTTGTGGCTTTGATGATCGTAAACAAATCTGCATTTCAAATGATCTGTATTATTATTTTTATTATTATTATTATTATTATTATTATTATTATTATTATCATCGTCAGTCATAATACTTGAAAATACTCATTGGTCGCCACCTGCTGGTGTAATGATGTAACCTACCAAAAGAGTCATGAAATTAAGCAGTGAATGAGTCTTTCAATGAAAATTATTCACCGGAATAAATCAAAACCCACATTGCTAGATGTTAAAGAGATAGTTTGCCCAAAATTACTATAGTCATAATTCATCCTCATGTCATTCCAAACCTGTATGATTGTACTTTACTATTACACAAAAGAAGATATTTTGAAGAACACTTCAATTGTTGGGGAACTGTCCCTTTAAGGCAGTGGTTCTCAATCAGGAAGCCAACAGAAATAAATTAAAATAAGACAAAACAACTAAAAATCAAGATATTTCTGATTTTAATTCATCCCATAAACAACTGCTTTTTTTTTTCCTTTGAAAGGCAAGGATTCCCACAGTATTGAAAAACTTGCATATGAATTAGCCTTATTTTAAAACGGTGATATCAAGACGTAGAAAATTAATGTAAATTAATAAAATCTTAACATATATAAATGTTAACATTTTAAATGTTTTTTTTTGTTTATTGTTGCCCTGAAGTTCATTATTCAGTAAATCATGAACAACTGAAAAAGTCATGGAGCTTTCGAATATTTCGGTAGATAATAGGGGGTCTTAGAGTCAACATTTTTTTGGAAAACCACAGCTTTAAGGCTTGAGTTTGGTAATTAGGTAATGAGTCTTAATCATGTCATGCTCTTTTTAGGATTGACTCTCAGTCCTAACCAACACAGATATGTAGGATAATGGTTGCCTGGAACAATTATAGTCAATTACCATAAATTATACAGTTTAACATCATCATTATACACAAATATTCGACCACAGAATGCTGCGATTGACCAATCCGAATCAAGTATTTCAGAGAACCATGATATCTGACACCAAGCAGCTTCAGCAGCTTTCTTCTCTCTCGTCTCTGTCTCAGGGCGAGGTGATCGCCATCACCAGACGTGTTGATGATCACTGGCTGGAGGGTCGTATCGCCGGCACCAACCGCAGTGGAATCTTCCCCATTAACTACGTCCAGGTCAACAAAATGCCCCGCACTAAAAGCAGTGATGACTTTCCATCTTCTCCCACTCTTACCCCAGAGACCCTCAGCCCTGGTCGACCACAGCACTCCCCTCTGTCTCCCTTGTTACGCTCCCCTGAACCCCAGCTTTCACCTCACAAACACTCCAGCCAGTCACGCTCCCCTCTGTCACATGAACAGCTCACCTCCCCAAAACAGCCTTCAAACCGCTTCCAGTTCTCACCTGGCCCCACTTCATCCACGAGCAACCGGACCAGATCACTGCACCCTCACAGCCCACTGGAAAAGGACACCAGATCACCCATGTCTCCTTCCAATCATGTGCTGACATCTTCACAGGGTCCGGGACTGCCAGCTCACACCAGCTCACACCCTCCGTACATCACCCAGGTTTGTGTAGACAAACAACACTGTATTTATGTATGTCCTATTAATCAGATTATGTTTTTAGTGAATATTTTGTGGCAAATAAGTGTTTTATTAAAGCTGCAGTCCGTAACTTTTTTTGGTTAAAAATTATCCGAAATCAATATTTGAGCAAGTACATAACCAGTCAGTGTTCGAAACTATCGCCTTACTTTAGCCCGATTCACAACGGTTAGCTTATAATAATATTTTCTAATTTGAGTGGTACGGGTAGGTTTTCGCGGGAAATTTGAGCATGCTGCTGCGTCATTACATCACTTCTGTAAATATAAAGAAGTTGTCCTGGCTACTAGGCTATCGCATGTGAGGATCCTGCAGGTGGCGGATCGTTTATAGCCTTTTCTCACAACAGCTGGAATAATTAAATTTATCATTTTGATGGCGGATTGTAATCCAGAAAAGATTATGTTTATGAAACACATGTGAATGAAATTATATACCAGTTTTAAATGTGCTTCTGATTACACATAGCCATGGGATTACACAAGATTTGTATTTTAAAGTAAACCAGTTCGAAGGAAACATAATTTGCTTTTTGGGTTAAAAGAATTTCTTAATATTAAATTTGAGTAGTATGACTATTAGAGATTAGACTGTCCAGAAATTGAAATCTACTCTCTTATACACACTATACTCATAGTCACGCAATGCTGATGTTGTTAACATTAATAATCTGAGAATAAAGTATAACAATAATAATAATTTGCACAGTTTGATGTGATATGAGCTCATTTAGATGAAATCACCATTGGTAGCGAGATTTATTGTAATGCTTTTTTCCTCAGTTGGTCAGAACAAACGTGGCAGACTTGTTACTTACTTGTTCAGATG